CATCCCCATTTAGTATTATGGAAGGAATATATACACACACACGCTCACACTTGTGGTGCCCGCTGGGATAAATACATGTCTGTCAGGAAACCTAATAAGAATACCAATATTTAAATTCAAAATTTTACTATTAAACTTTTAGTTTATATTTAACTTGCCTGAAAGCTTTAGGTGACATAGAAAACCACAAAATCAGCTTATACGCCTTTGTGTGACTACTTCATTATTTCTTTTCAGCACCTATGCACAGAGGCTGTGGATAGGTGCTGGTTTGAAGCCTTTTTGGGAATCTCGCCATATTTCAACAGGTTTGAGAACCAATAATTACATGATGCTACGAGCAGAACTTATTTCTATCCCAAGAAAATCACAACAAGTTAAGTCAAAAAATGACTCTCACCAAAGAGTATACCTGTCTAAAAACTTTTTCCAGTGGTAGATGAAGTAATTTATATATAAATAATTTTTCAAAAGTCCACAGACTTAACAAGTTATTATTTTAAGCTCTACTTTGGTTAAATGTTGTTTAGTTTCTGATAAAACATCTTCACCTGAAAATGTGAAGTAAATAATTCTAGTGTTTAAAAGAACAGTGGTTTCCACTGAAATTTAGTAGACTGAATGAAATTGGACTACAGTATGTTTTCTATAGTATATCGTTACTAAAATATGGGCTTGTGAGATTTAACAGTGACTGTAGCTGAGTAATATTAGATTGAAATGTATCTAATTGGCTAATAACAGGCCAAACACTAATATCATGAACACAAATATGTGCCTAAACCATTATAAACCACTATTCTTTCCTTTTGTGCTTTAGTATATTAGTTACTAAACAATAACATGTAATTAAACATCGGGACGGGAATGAAAATAACCAAAAGTAGCCAAAACTGTGAAGTAAGGGGCAATAAAGCCATATGCCCGGTCCTGCTGCTACACATGAGTGAATTAATTCATCTTATTCAGATGTCATTCTTCACTTGGCCGGAGGGTGCCTAACAATGGCTGCTAGGCCTTATTAGTTATTTATTTATTTGTAAGTTTTCAATTTTCACAACAGAGCACAAGCTAAGACCTACTGAAAATATTTTCAGTGTAGGCAATTAGAGAAAAGAAATCACAAACACTGGCAGCGAGACAATGTGAAGCAATAAAAACAAAAATACGTAAGGGGTTTTACAGAACTTTGTGGAGTCAGAAATGGGAAAGGATCGAAAAGGCATCTTTCTTGTATGTGCTTTATATATTTCATGAAGTCAGACCACACTTCCTGGAACTCTCCAGCAGTTATGAAGCCCGCCAATGCTCGACAACATTGTTACTTGGATATACCCGTGGGTAAAATAGTGCTCCTAATAGACACAGCCGAGGAGGTTCTGAAGGAGGCCTGTGTAGCCACTCACCAATACACTGGATTGCTTATTGAATGAAAGAGCAGCACTACAATAACTGAAGATAAGTAACGATCACTGATTCGCATTTTCAACACAAATTGTTAGGTACCAAGCCCATTCTATGAACTTTGACACCAGTTTTGTGTATCCCCCCATGTTTTGGGAGAACTTTGCGAGTGAATGATATTCCAAACTAGGGGTGCAACGATATTCGTATCGATATTGAACCGTTCGATACAGTGCTTTCGGTTCGGTACGCATATGTATCGAACAATACAACATTTGTAATTTATTTTATCAACTTTCCTTCTGACGATGCTGTCTGTGTTGAGCGCTCAGTGAATCTGCGTTCGACTACTCCGCCTAGGCTGCACTGTCGAGCGCAGATCCACTGAGCGCTCCACACAGACAGCATAGTCAGAAGGAAGAGCGCAGGGCAAGCTAGCGAGACAGAAGTTAAGCTCTCCTTGCAACATGGCAAATTGAACCTCCCCACCCTCATTCAGATCTGGCGTTTGGAATTATTTTGGTTTTCATGTGACGTATGACCCTGAAGGTAAGCGCGTCATGGACTAAAGTAAAACAGTATGTTGGATGTGCCACGCAATGCTCAATTACATGGGTGGGAACTAGTGTGTTAGCGCAGTTAGCTCGTTAACGTGTTGGCCGTCTAGCCCCACGCAGGGGTAGCTCGTTAACGGAGATTTGCCGTGTTGTGGCGTTAACGTCATTTCAACGAGATTAACGCTGACAGCACTAGTGGGAACACAACGAATATGACTGCACATTTACGCCGACATCATCCTAGTGCAAAGACAAGTGGAAGCAGACAAAAACAACAAGCATGCATGCTACAAACTTTACCCGAGTCATTTAGACAGCCGTTAGCACATGATTCTCCTTATGGGGACCTGATATGTTTAATATTGTGGCGAGCTCAGACAATGAGGAGACGGAGGTATCGTTTGGTCTTGCTTCCCGTGAGCTAGCACAGCCGTTTATTGACATCTGCAGAAGAACACTGCTGCTAGCTAACTGCTCAGCGCGGCAACCGCACAGCAACAACAACACACAGAGCGCCCTCTGACCCCGGAAGGACACACCGTCGCAGCGAGAAGGCGTCACCCGTCACTATGGCAACATAAACAAAACATAACTGTACAAACAGAACCCCGAACAGCCCTGACCCGCTACATAGCCCCCACCTAAGGGGTCAGTCGTCCCCGACGACCCCATTACCCCACACAAAGTCCTGCAAATGTCCAGGTGCCTTCTTTTGGCGCACCGGCCGGTCACGACCGGCGGGGGAAAAGTCACTCGGGTCAGAACATGGGGTGCCACCATCATCCCACTTCTGACACCAATGTGGCGAGCTCAGACAACGAGGAGACGGAGGTGTCGTTTGGTCTTGCTTCCCGTGAGCTAGCCAGGGAGCACAGCCGTTTATTGACATCTGCAGAAGAACACTGCCGCTAGCTAACTGCTCAGCGCGGCAACCGCACAGCAACAACAACAACAACACACAGGGCGCCCTCTGACCCCGGAAGGACACACCGTCACTATGGCAACATAAACAAAACATAACTGTACAAACAGAACCCCGAACAGCCCTGACCCGCTACAATATGCTGCTGAGAATATAGCCCAGAAGAAGCGTATAGTATAGCTTTTATTTTGGAAAGAGCCATTTCTCTGTAATAAACTCTCTTTTCCAAAGATGAGTGATTCCTCAATCAGATTATTTTTTTAAATTACTTTTGTTTCAGCAACATTAAATTTAAAAACTGTACTTTTGAGTTAAAATATATATTTATAATTTTAATAAATGACAAATTAAAAAGGCATGAACATTTTTTTTGTATCGAAAAAATATCGAACCGTGACACCAAAGTATCGAACCGAACCGAACCGTGAATTTTGTCTATCGTTGCACCCCTATTCCAAACAGATCCACGAGGTAGAAGGAGGAGGGTTAGCTGAGAAAGAAAGCAAGGTAGGAGAGATATCAACTCTGCCATTGCTTTTTGGAAGCAATGCAATATTAAATTGAAAAAATAGGCCTTATACCAGCCTATATCTTTTTTTCTCCCCCAGCTTTTCACTGTTTATTGCACACATTAAAAAGTGCCCTATCACCTTAACCTCTTGCCTTGTTTAACACAGTAAAGGTAAGTTTGGAATGAAAAACTGATGGCCAAAGAGCTTGACTATTTACATGCAATACCATGATATCATAGTGGTCTGTGTGTATTCTAGCTCTTTTTAAAAAATCCAGTCTATTGAATTCTATTGTGCACTCTGGTAATCGCGACAAGCTTTGTAGGGGGGAGAAGATCTCATTCGGCTGTTGTTGGATGAATAAGCGCAGATGTCAACCTTTTCACTGTGACTCTCACCTTGTCCACTCTGTTGTAATGAAAACGGCAGCCTTTTGTTTCATGTTGAATATTCCTTCATAGGAACAAAGGCACAATTCGCATTCATCCTGTGAGGCAGATCTCGGCAGATAAAGCCAGGCCAGCACTGCCACACTCTGACCTTGCTGGCATGACTCCCTGAAAGTGTTTGGCTGCCTCTCTATCCTAAATAATGAACTGGCTCATGAAAAGAGCCATTGCCTTACTGCTGGGAAGTTTACCTGGCACTCTGAGCATGATGTTGCCCATAAAGGTACATAAGTACACATTGCAGCTAACATTTGGGCTCCAGCTTGCTTTTATTTGTCCTTCAACTTTCCCGGGGAACACTTGAGAGCCTTCTTCTTCCTGTCAAGTGTCTGGTGGGTGAGAAACTTTAGAAATAAGGAGGCAGACGCATATTATCGGGGTTCTGACCTGCCCCAGCCCCTCTTCACTCTCTGACTCTTTCTTCCAACCAGGATGGAGTGACAGCTTGTCACTGTGGCTGCTCCACAATACAGCTCAGACCCCCCGACTATTGTGGAGCTCAGGAAAAAAAAAGCACCAAGGTCTTCCTCTCTCTTTCCTTCACTCTTTTTTCTCCCTCTTTTCAAAGCAGAGAATCAATCAGCTGTACACACACACATACATACACACGACTCATTTCTTTTCCCTTCCCTCTGTCTATTCAGCAGCCAGTGATCATTTAGACTTGACATGTATTGTGAAAAACTGAGCTGCTTTGCCTCTTTCTTCTTCTCTTTCTTTCACTCCCTTTCTCTTTCAACTGTCTGTCATTAATGTCCAGGTCTTACAATATACGAACAGAGGAGAAGAAGAAAGCGAAGAGTGAGGGATGAATTGATGGATGGGAGGATAAGCGCTCAGTGTCCTTTCTTTAAAGATTTGTTATTGTACAGTACTGTCTCCCAGTCATTTTTGGTTGGTGTTTCAGTCTGAAAGCCCATCCACGTGCTCTTTTGTATGGGAAAGCAATAAGGCCCCATTGAATGAAGCTGAATGGACCTGCCATCCTTAGGGGCTGAGGCCTGAGGACTCCTATTCTTTAGCCCCCAATCTAATTGGAGCTGAAATGAAATGGAGGTTTCTTATGAAAATAGGCTTTGTTTGGCCGCAAGGCTGGTAATTCATAAACAATAAGCAGGGCCCCATTGTGTAGATAATAATATATTCATGCCGCTGGAGATGGGGAGAAAGCAAAGCGAAGGCTGAGGATATATAAGGAGGATAGGCAGAGACAGCGATGGAGAGTGAAGGGATAAGAAGAAGGGGAGGAGGAAGACGAGGGGCTAATAGCAAATAGTGGGTCAGAGAAAATTTGTAATAGTTGGGTAGAGGCAGAGGATTTATTAGAGGAAGTGAAAGGACTGAAAGTGGGTAGGAGTGAAAAGTGAGTGGGAGTGAGGAAGGTGAAAATAGGAATAGGAGAGATAGACAAGATAAGAATGAGGCGAGGAGGGCGGGAGATTGGGAAATGGTTTTGAGTACCTCTGAGTCTACAGGTGACTGGTTTGGCAGCAGTGGGGGGAGAAGGCAAGTGAGTGAAAGTATCATAGAAAATGGAAAAGGTTGCACAGTGCAAATCTGTGTGGTGTTGAGAGTGGTGGAGCTGATAGAGTGGATTGGTCAAGTGCAGAGACAGAGCAGTGGAAAAAGAAAAAAAAACCCACAGTCAATGTCTGACAAGAGAGAGGAGAGAGGAGACCGGTGTGCCTGCGCTGGTGTAAACATGACAGGAGGGCTTTTACCGCCCGGAGACAGGAGTGTGGCTGAGGAGAGCAGGTGAGCTTTCTTGACACTCTGATGCATCAGTCCACGCAGATTATCGCTCTCTGTCATCATCTGTAATCGCACAGGTCAAAGCTGCGTCTGTGCGATGATCTCCAGCTTAGGCTGCACATCCTTAAAGAAGTGTCATCTCAAACAGCAGGACCAAAAAAAAAGAGAAAAAAAGTGCTGGACTGTGCGAGTGGAGTGACAAGCTGACTGAAGGGACCCTGCTTCCTGTATGTGATCTGAGCAGCTGCTTGGTTAATGTAAACGGGCTTGTTACCATTGATGGAGTGATTTTTACAAAGTGACTGGAAACATCCATTCCTCTGGAAGCTTTGGGAAACAAAAAGTGCTGCCAGCTGTGCTTCTAATTTTCTTTTTTCCCCTCCTCCTCCTTCTTCTTCTTCTTCTTCTTCTTCTTCTAAAGTGGTATATGCTGGACAGAGTTTCGTGGAAGTGGAGGGAGAGGATTTTGAGGACCCAAATTCAAAACCCAAACTGTGAACACCGAGAGCGAGAGCTTTGAATTAACAGTGAGTAAATCTCAAATGGTACTAAATAGGTTGACTGAGTTTGCGTGTGTGTGTGTGTGGGAGTCAGGGCTGTTTGCATGCTCTTACACTTTTTTGTGCAACAAGTGCAGTGTCACCTGTGAGGTGTAACCCACATACAGAAGTTGTGGTCCACGCAAAAAAAAGTTTTTGTGGACACACTGTGCAAAAACTTGTCCACAGGTGTAAATATCAAATGGACAGAGCGATGAGCTTTTTACATTTTAACAGAATGTTTGTGTTTTTACTTTTAGTGTTCAAGTTTGCACATAACTGCACATCAAGAGGACTTGATGTGTGCATGAAAGTGTGTGTGTGTCCGAGTGTGAAGCCCTCTGTCTCACTGATGGATGGATTCTTTCATTGGAAAGCAAAATGTTAAATAACGAGCCATGGTGTTAGGTAAATACTGTTGTTAGTCATAATTACCAAGAAGGCTCTGCTCTGTTTAGGTGCATGCAAACACCTCTACCTGCTATTTCACGCCAAACGAGTGCTGTGGAAATAACTCAAGGAATTTAAAATATTAGTGAGGGGAAAATGATTTGCATGAAATATCTGGATAATTACTGTAATTGCTTAAATATATTAGGCTTTCTTCTTGTTTTGGTTATGCAGGTGTATTAGCCAAGAGGTGGTGATATTTCATTTGACCAACACGTGCAATTCAATCCCTAAGGCACCTAAGTTTTTGCTTTGAGCCACTAGATGTCAGTATTTAACAAGCTATACACCAGCACTGTAGCCCTCCTGCAGAAGACATCCAGCATAAGCCTCCTGAGGTTCTGTGCTCAAAGATTTTCTCTGTTATTTGCCTCAGTGTGTGTGTATTTACGCAAAAATGTTATAGATTTATAAAACCATAAATGTGACATTATGTGCAACAGTAAACAGGTGCTCGTATACCTTGTTTTTTTAAAGGTTTTAAATCATAACACTTCTTTAAGATAGATTTCAGCAGGTGCTTTTTGCCTTTCAGTGCAAAATGAGAAGACATAACGCTGATCATTTAATTGCATGTCACAGTGAAGATCATGTGCTGCATTTATTTTTAATCATATGGTTACTCCTGCCACGAGATGGCAATCACACCTAATGAAAAACCTCTCGGCCGTATGTGTGCATATGTTCTCCTATTTGTGAGTGTGTGTGTGTCTCTGTGTGCGTGAGTGTGTCGGTGCTGGATTTGCTCTCAACACGCATGCTTTTGCATATAACAAGATGTCTTCACATTGTTGTGTTTTGGATTTGTTTGCCCTGTCTTTCGTGTGTATGAGTGTGTGTATGCAAATGTGTGTGTATGTGTGCTTGTGATAACCTGCAGTGTTTGTTGAATATCTGTGCAAGCCGAGCTGGATGTTTCCCTGCTGGAGGTCCTTGTTTGTTTTGTTTATTTGCATGCATCAGAGTGGTTGTTGGCGGTGTTGGTCACTACAAGTGGCTGGCATTTGGTGCCTGGTAATCAGGCAACGGGCAAACTGGGTGGCACCGCTGCGAATGGTTTGCTGGAGATTATCCCAAAATTATCCATGAATTATCCCAGAGAATTACACCATTCCAGTCAGGCCTTGTCCATTGATGGAACTGGAAAGAGGAGAGTGTTGGACCAAGTGTGTGTGTGTGTGCATATTGTTAGGGGGACTTTTGGATGGAGCAATGTTGGTGTCTATATTACGTATTGCAGCTCTGTGTGTATGTGTGTGTTTAATGATTCTGGCAGTGTTGGTGCATTGGGGTAATGGAGCATGTTAATCCACATCAAACGGCTATTACCGGCAGATTTTACTCACAAAAATTGCTATGTTCAGTAAGAGGGGCGATAAATTTAAATACTTTGAGCAAACCTGTGTGGTTCATGCATGCTTTGTTTTCCAACACGTGTCAATAAAAAATTCAGTTAAGTAGCAGAAGTTTATCATTTAGCCCTCCAATTAAAATGTTATCTAATCCTTAAAATCTGGCAGAAGCTACAGTGTAAGTGTAAATTTTTATTAGGTTGGGTTTTTTTTTTTTCCCCCCAGAGCTACAGGTTTTCATGCCCGTTGGACCATTGTATTGAACTCATTTCTGTGTTGCTGCTGTCTCTGCACATCGTGCTGTCATTAAAGTCTGGATAGATAGGAAGGGACTAGCTGCTTGCTTGTGTGTGTGGCTGTCGGAGCCCCAAAAGGATGAATAGTGCTGGTGAACCTCTCTGCGATAAGTGTTCGGTAAACGGGTCAGTAGATTGTCCTCTGAGGCTCAATCTGAGCTATTTTCCCTGGCTGAGAACACAAATTATCCTCTGCATTCATTCCATAAACAGACCTCCAGTGGCGCAGACTCCACATAGTTTGTTGTGCTTGTGCGCTCGCTCATTCTGTTTTCTTGTGCTTTGGCTGAATACGCAGGCCCGCTTACACATGTGAACCACATGGGATAACACATGCATGCTTCTCACCCTCTCGACAACAAAGGCCAAACTGACAAGCAGATGAATGCACAACTATAGAGGATGAGAAAACAATTGCATTTAGAGCGGGCGTGAGTAGAGGATCACAGCGAAACACACACTGGCATAGGAAGTAGGAAGAGGATAATGGTAAGAGGCAAAAGAGGGGCAAAAAAGAGGGAAAGGCTGAGGTGGTGAAAGGTTAAGTACTCTCTCTTTTTTTTTTTGGATGCTGTACTTCCTGCAGGGCCTTGTTCCTTGACCTGCTGGTTAGAGGAGAGAGTTTGAAAAAAAAACTGTGAGCAAGGGGGAAAGGAGGGAGAAAAGGCTAAAGCTGCATGTGAGGTTGCAAGGTGAGAGGTGGAAGAGCTAGAATGGGAGGAGTATTTGCCTCCGGCTGATAGGGAACAATTGGGCACAGAAGACGGCACGCACACACACACTCACTCAACACCGAAACAAAAATGGACATTCTCACACACACTCACACGCATAGAGCCGCACACACTTCGAACTACAGGCCCAGCAGGCACATGAACTTCAGTGCAGTTGTTGCCATGGCGATACACTGAGTTGCTGACCCCCCGACTTCATTTTTCCTGCCGCTTGGCTATTGAAAGAGATGATTGACAAGTGTCCAAATGTCAGCCGACCCAGCCGGCCACACAGATGGGGTGGGGTGGGGGAGTTGGGGGTGGGCAGCCATTTTATGTTACTTTCACTCACAGGAAGCAAAGCGTGTGTGTGTGTGTGTGTGTGTGTGTGTGTGTGTGTGCGTGCGTGTGTGTGTGCGTGTGCTTGTGGATACACGTGCACCGAGTGTCTGTTAAAGCTGAGCAATTACTTAAATTATTAGCAATCACAATAAACTGCATCTACCCTGTGATGCTATGAATAGACCGAACAAACAAAACACCAGAGGTACACACACATAATACAGTAGCTGTACTCACTTGTAAACACACATATCTCAACCGGTGCAAAGAAAGCCTCCAAATAAAGCCATTTAGCATGCAAGACAGGGTCGTATATTTGGTTTGTCTTTTGAGCTGCACTGATAACACGTTCGCTGAAAGGCAGGACTGGCTGGTTGTGGTGGCTATTGAGTGTTTGTATGTGTTTGCATCTTTAGTGTTTTTACTGTGTGCTGTGTGCATATTTATGCGCACAAACACTGATGGACCAAATTGACATGAATCCTCTTATTCATACATAAAATGTATTAATAAAAAACCCCCCAGCAAATTTTACACTCAACAATGAAACTTATAGAAAACAAGCACACTTTTTTCTTTTTTCTTTGTATTTCTGTAGATATTTTTCCTCCTGTGTTTTTTTAATCCTCTCTCCCTTTCTCACTGTCTCATTGTCTGCAGGATTGAAGGGATCGGTCTTATCTTGATCACCCACTGCAACACATTAACCTCTCCTCTCTTATCTCTACACTGGTCATTAGTGCCAAAACCCTTAACGTCCTATTGACAAGGAGCACAAAACTCTGCATCTGTGTGTGTGTGTGTGTGCATGCATGTGTTGAGCTATTGCAGGTGACATGTGGATGAGATCTGCTGAGTTGGTGATCTGAGCCGATAACATTATTAGTTGTGTGTGTGTATGTGTGCCTGTGTGTGTGCAAAATATGACGAGAGAGTGGGAGGAGAAAATATTTCTATATAAAGTATTTGATCGAAAATTGAGCAGCCCATATTTAATACGTATTTATGTGCTTTTATTTTGACACTTTGGCAGTCTGAAGATCTGAAAAGATATGATTAATAAGTCATTGATTATATTTGATATATTTAGTGACTGAATGTAACATAATTTGCATTAAATGTAGCGAGTACATATATTCAAAATAAGGTCTGAATTACACTCCCCTGCCACCTGAAATCGCTGCCGGAGAAATGTAATCATTCAAAACCCAGTCATCCGCTTTGCTGTGAGGCCATTTAGAAGGTATTGAGGGGAAAATAAAAATGCACTTCCTGTTCTCTAATGCGCCAGTATTGGTGCTGAATGGGTTACTCCATTTGATGCTGATGGAGCATTACACTTCAGCTCAGTCAAACAGCTGTCAGCAGCAAGTGTATCACAAATTCAATCAGTTCACGTTATCATGTCATGACACGCAGCAATCAAATCACTTATTGCAGAAATATTTGCACCTCCTTTAAACGCTCCTGGCACATCTGAAGCTGCTTTGAAATAAGGTGAAAAAAAAAGAGTGACAAAATATATGAACGCATAAATCCATCCATTCATCGCTTCATGCTTTTACTGTGTTCGGGGAGGTCACAACACAATTAGAAAATTATATATGTTTTATGTTGGAGGCACACAATCGTCGCTCTGCTGTTTTATTCCAAAGGAAAAACAAAATCACATTTCTGCTAATATGTGTCATCGAGAAATTTGGGGCCTTTTAGCTGTGAGTTAAATGTGTGCCACTGTTTATCGCTAAATGCAGTACTTATCTGTCTCTCTCTGTCTGTTTTCTATCTTCTCCTGGCCCCGTGTGTTAGTGGGACTGACAATCAAACAGGTTAAA